ATATATATATATATATATATATATATATATATATATAGGTAGATATATATATAAACAGTGTCGCGTGAGATTCACACGAAGCGCAATGGATGAGCTAGTGTAATCACGCGAGCGTGGCCAAAGTCCGATTTTTTTCGTTTTTTTTTCGGATTAGCAATCTACATAACAAGAGGATCGTAAAAACGTAAAAATTACCTCCGATCTTTTGACGATTTTCACAGGCTTTGCGAAAGAAAATCGAAAGGGTAGAGAGAGTTTTTGAGTTTTTTACTTTTTATTTTTTGAAGAATGGTAAAAAATGTGCCTGACTGTTTAATATGTGCCTGCCCAAATCATTTCAGTTGTTTTATTTAGGTAAAGTATAGGTTAAAATCCATTGGTAGGAGCAGACAAATCACAACTTTAAAAAAGAGTAAACTGCAAAAAGTACTCCTGTGTAATCTCTAAATAGCGAAAACCCCCCTACGATAAATAAACTAGCAAAAACTCCCCTGTGAAATTACTTAAATAGCACACTCGGCCCATTTATCATTTGAGTGTTGACTTCATATATACCCCAGGATTTTGCAATTAATAAATTCTTATATTTTTTTAAATATTTTAATTATTTTATTTTTGTTATATCTTAATTATAAAGGTACAATGGAGTCTTTAATTTATTTTTGTTTTTATCATCACATAGTTTTTGTATATATTTTAAATTATCGCTACATCAAAAGAAAATTTAAATTCTGTTATTATATATTTAAAAAAATCTATACTTAATTTGATTAAGAAATTTTTAATAATTTTTAAATTTAATTATTTACTATTTTTTAACAATAATTTAATTTCTAAAAAATCAAATTAAAAGGAAAATATATATACATATAATATATATACATATAAATACATTTTTTGGGGACAATTTCGTCATTTCACGTCCAAAAACCTACTACCAGTCGTGCAACCCGCGAGTGAGCCACACTTAAGTCAATCGGGGGGGTTTTTGCCTTTGACTAAATTTCACAGGGGGATTTTTGCTAGTTTATTTATCACAGGAGAGTTTTTGCTATTTGGAGATTACACAGGGGTACTTTTTGCAGTTTACTCCTTTAAAAAATAATATTATTTGACAAAATTACCCTTTTCTTACCTTTCATCTTGTCGTTATTATTTCATTAATTTGTCACTAAAAAAAAATCTGCATTGTAATCCAAATAAAGTGTTCAAATAACGTATTGTTATTAATATATATATATGGAGTTTCATCTTCCCTCTTAGAGAAAATAAAATTGAGATTGCTATTAAACGACAAAAAAAAAAAAAATTAAGTAAATCAAAATGAAGACAATAATAGAATTTATTGGGGTGGGGTGGGGTGGGGTGAAGCCCGCAGCCTTCAATC